AATAGGTTCAAGAATAATAATAAAAAGAAACAAAAAAACTGCTACGTTAAGATTGCAACACAAGCGACCGTCATCAGGTGGCCCGTCTGTCTGTGACTTTCAAGCGATTGCTTTCATTAACGGAGAGAGCATTAACATCAATTAGTTACTCATCGTGAAGGCAAAACGGCACGGCTCACTGACGCCAATTAAAAGGCAGCTGCTTTAGTTCCAGCCACGGCTATCACACTGAGACGTGCTTTTAACGCTAATTGATTGCACAAGATCACAACATTCATTTCACAGGAGTGATTCAAATATCACCGGCATGTCAATTGACAGCCCCAGGCTTGGTTTGTCGTTTTTTGGCCGGAATTATCGTTAAAATACAGATGTATTTTGTTCACGTATATATATATTGCTTGTGCTTGGTACCAATCATGGACACTTGAAATAAAAAAAAAACTTCCTTCTGATTAAAATTTTCACAAGTCTGCATTATTATTCATCAACAATGCAAATATTAACAATGAAAAAACCATTCAGAATGCAGCTGAGCCACGCATGTTCATTTAAACGTATCAAGTGATTTTGAAAAGTAAAACGAGCAATAATTACGACAGATAAAAGGCAAAATTGTTAAGATACCACTTTTGTAATTTCTCATTCATGCCACTGCTGGCAGCAGGGCCTCTATTGGAGGGAGCTCTGGGGCACCCGGTATTTTGGGCCACTCTTCTATGTTGAAGAGGTGGCAGTAGCCAGATTTAACCTCAACACATTCGAGCTGTGGATCGACTCACTGTGGTGCCCCAATGTACTGTATACTGGACATCTGTGAACCGGACATCTGTGAAAAAAGAGCTTCATAGCTCACCGGATTCCTCCAGTTTAAATAAAGATTCTGATTCTGTTAACTGCTGAGAGCACAGAGGCAATGTGGATATTTAAGAAGCTGGCACCATTTTACAACTGCCGTGCTGAGAAATCAAACATGCAACCTCTCGATTGCAAGTCCAGAGTGCTGACCTTTACGCTACGGCAGCATCACGGTTCATCTAAGGATAAACGTACTAAAGTTCGTCTACAGGGACTCCTCTACTTACGAACTTTCGACTTACGAACTTTCAAACATTAACAAACCTGTCCGTATGTCCAGTTGCCTGTTCGGAGTTTTTCAAGAGAGGAAACACGAACAATGAAGCGAATTAGCATCTACATCTGCAGAACATGAACAACCAGTGCCATCTACATTTGCAGAACAAGAAGAACCAGTGCCATCTACATCTGCAGAACATGAAGAACGAGGGGCATCTACATCTGCAGAACAAGAAGACCCAGTGCCATTCCCATCTGCAGAACATGAAGAATCAGTGGCATCTACATCAGCAGAACAAGAAGAACCAGTTGCATCTACATCTGCAGAACATGAAGAACCAGTGGCATCTACATCTGCAGAATGTGAAGAACCAGTGGCATCTACATCTGCAGAACATGAAGAACTAGTGAATTTACATCTGCAGAACATGAAGAACCAGTGCCATCTCCATCTGCAGAACATGAAGAACGAGTGGCATCTACATCTGCAGAACAAGAAGAACCAGTTGCATATACATCTGCAGAACAAGAAGACCCAGTGCCATTTCCATTTGCAGAACATGAAAAATCAGTGGCATCTACATCTGCAGAATATGAAGAACGAGTGGCATCTATATCTGCAGAACAAGAAGAACCAGTTGCATCTACATCTGCAGAACATGAAGAACCAGTGGCATCTACATCTGCAGAATGTGAAGAACCAGTGGCATCTACATCTGCAGAATGTAAAGAACCAGTGGCATCTACATCTGCAGAACATGAAGAACTAGTGAATTTACATCTGCAGAACATGAAGAACCAGTGCCATCTACATCTGCAGAATGTGAAGAACCAGTGGCATCTACATCTGCAGAACAAGAAGAACCAGTTGCATCTACATCTGCAGAACATGAAGAACCAGTGGCATCTACATCTGCAGAACATGAAGAACGAGTGGCATCTACATCCGCAGAACAAGAAGAACCAGTTGCATCTACATCTGCAGAACATGAAGAACCAGTGGCATCTACATCTGCAGAATGTGAAGAACCAGTGGCATCTATATCTGCAGAACATGAAGAACCAGTGGCATCTACATCTGCAGAACATGAAGAACCAGTACCATCTGCAGAATGTGAAGAACCAGTGGCATCCACATCTGCAGAACATGAAGAACCAGTGGCATCTACATTTGCAGAACATGGAGAACCAGTGGCATCTACATCTAAAGATGATGATACAACTTTTAAAGCCAGTCCCCGTGTTTAGTGTACATGACGTGCAACTTGTTTGAAATCGACAGGAGTAAAGTTGGACTTAGGAACAAATCGACTTACGGACAGACCTCTGGGACCTAATTCGTTCGTAAGTATTCTCTATGCCTACTTGTGGAATGCAAGAGTGACACATTAACGCGTGTGATAATGCACACACTGTTTCGATTTTTAATATGGACAAACATGTAATTTTACCTTTTATCTGACAAGCTTGTGTTTTAAAGATTTCTCTCATTCTCAATAAGTTCTAATCTCTACCGCTCTGACACAAACTGTTTAGAAAAAATATAAATCTATGGTTCCCGACTCTTCTTAAGCATTATATAATCCACTCATATTACAGGACTTTCTTTTACTTCACACGTTCTCTTGATCATATAGTTTCAATAATACCATACATGATTCCGTAGACACACACAGTTGTAAATAATTTCTAAAATGCTTTGGTTTGAAAAAAAAAGAAAACCCCACACATCTCAAGGGCAAAACTCTGTTTCATTGTATTGTCCACTGCACAGTAACGAATTAGTGTCTCACATGGAAGTAAAAATTAATTGAATTCCGAGATAATTATTTTTTTTGGAAGTGGATACATTTTCGAGCCTCGGTAACCTTGAAGAATGCACGCAGGCGATGAATGTGTGGTTTCCACGAAACAAAATATCGCTTAATTCCGGAAAATTGTAGGTTCTGCTGGTTGGCACTCGACCTCAGGCGAAAAAAAACGTGTGGGAGTATCACGTGTGGCGGTCGCAGACTCCAGGATTCGGTTTTCTACTCATCTAAAGAGCCTCGGCATCATGCTTGACGAGAATGTCGTTTGATCACCACGTGCAAATATATAGTGAGGTCTCGCATTTTTCATATCAGGGCTCTTCGACGTTTAGCGAAGTGTAATGACGACAGAGCCTTAATGCAGTGTGAGGGGACTAGTGGCCACGGGAGGTAATGACAGGGGAGTCAGCCTACAGTACGAGTGCGCTAGTGGCCAAGGGAGGTAATGACGGGTACCAGTTGTGAGTGCGATGGGACTGGTGGCTACGGGAATGTTCGAGAAGGGAGCGTGATTGGGTGACGGAAGAGGACGGTGGAGTCTGCCGGTATAGCGAACGCCCAGAGTCACCGAGAATGATCGAGAAGGTGGGCGTGGCCTCATGCTGAGGTATAAGGGTGATGCACGGGAGATTCGGGGCTTTTGCAGTGGGGGTCTCCACCTGATGTCAAGTGAACGCGTCTTCAATAAAGTGCCGTCGTCATTACAACAGTATCGACAAGGCTCGATTATTGAAACTTTCACTACCCTCTGGGACGTCTGGCAAAAACATCACCAAAACTCTTTGGCACATGCCGTGACGAGTACCGCAAGATCTGACCGTGTTCGTCCAGCGCTCGCCAAGCTGCACTGGCTCCCGGTTACCGAACGAGTATATTATTATAAGGTCGCACTCATTACACACAAAGTGATTGCCACAAATGAACCACAATACCTTGCTGATCTCGTCAAGGCGCAACGGATTTTGGCTAACCATTAAACAAAGACGGTTACAGCATCACACACTTTCAGAGGCGCTTCTGCAGCCGTCTGGAATGCTCTTTCTTTAGATATTAGGAAGCTACTGGAGCTATGCACTTTGAAATCTAGATTGAAAATATATATTTTTAGAGCTACTTTTTGTTTTTAGTTTTGTTGTCTTCCCCCACACCTCCGATTAGCGTGATTATCTAAAAGGTTCTCAGGACGCACTTTTATCGCGTGAAAACTCTGGCCATTGTGAAAACTTTCATCCAGTTAAAATCACTCCAATGGAATTTTAATGCAGGAAACGGATCATTAATCCACAAAATATCAAAGTACCCGGCTTTAAGCTGAATAAATTCTTTTTTTAAAGACAGCGAGTGGATGAGGGTTGTGAAAGTCTTACCATTGCCATTTTGTGTGATCGCGATGCCCCCTGTTGAAAGATTAACCAAAGGGGGGGGACAAATCTTTCATGCCAAAGAAACAGAGAGATCATATCATACGGACCGATGATAAAACGGCACTATATCGTTGCCGTGGTGTCACGCTGAGCACACCGGACTTACAATCCAAAGGTCAACGGTTAGATTCGATCTCCGGGCGCGGCAGCTAACAACCAGTCAGACAAGTCGATCGACAGGCCGCGCGTGGTGGGGCGACGTGTGGATTACTCCCACCTCTTCTAAGACAGACATCGGGTCAGTGTGGAAGTGTAGGCCAAATACACTTTAGAAGGGGTCATATTGAGATGCCTTTTTTCAGTGGGGGGGGCTTCTGCCACGACGGACGAAAGCAAGCAACATTTACAGGGCAGTTCTTGTACATGTATTACTGCATCTTTAGCGTGGTAATTTATCAAACGTAATAACGAATTGGCAGATAATAAATAATGAGAAAAACAACGAGCACGGTGTTGTAAAATTACAAAGGGAGATTATTTACTGCATTTACTTTCAAATGCAAATCAGTCGAAATTTTATAAACGCAAAAGAAAAATCACGCTGCGCACAAAGCCTTTGTGACCCAGTTTTCCAACACGGTTTTTTGAAATGCTAATTCTGAGCCCCCTTCCTTTGAATTGAGATTGTACGTGACATGCGTTATTAGTTCTTTTTTTTGGGGGGGGGGGGGTGGGGGGCGCGGGCAAGTAATAAACCAGCCTGTTTGTGTTGCTACTTGCAGCTCCAATTTCCCTCAAGTGGCCTAACTACGGCCAAATCCTTCGCAAAGCCAAGTGTGCTTGTTTTTTTTTTGCACGGCTGTGTGGCGCACTTAGAAAGGGGGGCGTCGAATGGGTTAAAAAAAAAACAAATCTCCAGCCAAACGGTACGGTGGAGGTCCGCAAAAAAAGAAACGGACTTTGTCTCCGTTGGGCAAACACGGATGCTTAAGTTGCAAAATCTGTAAATCACGCAAAGCAATCACTCAGAGCGGGAGAGTCACACGTCGTCCATCTGTGCCGTCGGCTTTGCTCGGCCAAGGTAAGCCTCCCCTGCCCTGCTTTCATGTCCGAATCGCCTTCACGCCGCTGTCGTCGTTTTACGTCCGTCTCCCCGTGTGAAACGCACACTATTGCTCTATCAACTTAAGCGTGTCATCAGGCAGAAAGAGTAAGGGCCATTAAGCTAATTATCTCTGAGATTGTGAAATGACCGAGCGAGGCGCGTTGGCGGAGGTCATGTTTAAGTTTGTTCGTGCCTGTCTCAGAAATAAATGAGTGGCTACCTGGGACCAAAGGGGCACTTTGTACACGGGAAGCACGTAAACAAGTAATAGCTCGTATTGTTAACTGTTACAGCATAAGAATAAGAAAGCATCCTTTATTTATGTATTCCCCCCCATGTTATTTTGCAGCATATGTAGTGATGCAGCCCTGCAATTTCATTCTCATGCCACTGCTGGCATGAGGGCCTTCCACTAGTAGAGGGGGCTCAAGAGAACCCCGCTGGAGGGCATTTGGTCTACTCTTCCACTCGGGCCAGACGTCTTTTAATCCTCGCAGCAGCGGCTTTTACCTGCTCGCCATCGAACAAAGACGGTCACCGCATCGCGCGCTTTCAGATGCCCTTCTGCGGCCGTGAGGAACGCTCTTCCTTCCGATAGTAGGAAGCCACTGGAGCTATGCACTTTTAAATCTAGATGGCAAACTACTTTCTTTAGAACTGATTTTTGTGTTCAGTTTGTTGTCTTTCCCCCGCACCTCCGGTTAGCACGGTTGGCTACATACGGTGCGAAAGAAGTTCAACATACACATACATTGGAAGACGTGGGATTACCCACACTTCACCCCATCACACATGAACCTGCTGATAGCCGAACTGTGGTGTACCCATTGTACTGCTGGGTTAACATTTGGCAGGGGGTAGATTAGATAAACGTGGCCATTGTTTGACCTCAGTGTGGCCATTAATTCAATATTACTTTCTATTATCACGTTGACTTCTCTGTAGGATTAGAACACTTCGTAATGGTTAAAATATTCTGCGTCCATACAGTCTATTATCTGCAATGCCTTGAAGTGAGAAGTGAGTAGTTAATGGATAACGCGATGTTAACTTTGGTTTTAAAAGGGGATTAGGCTGTTTTGGAAGCTGGGGACATGCAAGGACACATCAAGGTTATGCCCAGCATGTGACAAGCGACCGATGGTCCGAACTGCACCATATAGTCTTGATCTCCACCAGCCATGATCTATCCACTGATGGATGAAGGCCACCCCTAATGCCATCGGCATCCCACACAGTCCCTTGATGCAAAACAAAATTTTCTCCGTCTTGCAGAGGCGTCAATCTCATTGCCCCATATCCGCGAGGGGCGTCCTATCGAGCGTTTTCCCCTCTTTTGGTTGTTATTCCATGACCAGTCTCATCCATCACCCGTCAACCCGTCGAGCGATGTGTCCTGCCCACCTCCTTTCCTTCGGGGTAAATGTTGATGTCCTTAATTTGTGTTTGTTCTCTGATCCTTTGTACTCATTGTCTGTAGGCACTTGAAAGCGCGCACCTCCCTCCATGCTTACTTGCCCAAATTCAAAATTTGTCCAACTTTCCTTGTTTGTGTCCATGTTGTTATTGACGACGAGACAACTTTCGCAAACGGACTATCGTTCGAGAGGCGCCTCAGAGGCGCGGAGCCCAGTTCATTGTCACTCAAAGGCTCGCCAGAAGAATTGCGTCTTGAGGCGTGTTCTCACTGTGGAAGATGACACGATGTGGCGTATCTGAAGGGTGATGAAATTGCCAAGAAATTGCACGGCTGCACCTTTAAGATTTCACCTTTAACTTTCTGTCCTGGGTTTTAACTGCTTTACATTCCAGAATCACTTGATATTTGAAAATGAACATGTTCATTGGTATTTTGAAGGGCATTTATATGCATCGGTGATGAATGATAATGCACTATTGCCAGCTGGGTGGCTTGGCCATAGGGTGAGCAACTCGCAATCAGAATGTTGTGTTCAAACCCTGGTTGTGAGTTGACTCAGCAGTTTCATGACGAGACCAGCGAGCCTAAATATCTTTATACACATACGTGAAATGGCGGCGGCGTGTGTAGCAGCGTGTGTAGCAGCGTGTGAGTTGTTTTGCGTGAGTGTAAACTGTGCGTGAGAATGTGTGAAAATGTGAGTGAGAATGAGCTGTGTGTGAGCTGCGTGTGAGTGTGTGTGAGTGAGCCGTGTGTGTGAGTGAGCCTGTGTGAGAGTGAGACGTGATTATAATACTTGTGTGTTGTAAGGGCCATTGCCGAAACGTCGCCTATTATTTCTGGATTTTATTTTGGAGGCCACCCCCAGCAAATGTAGTTCAGCAGCTTCATAGCTTCATGGCCGTGACGAGAGGGACTTCTGCGTTCAAACAGTGATGTGCATTCGTGTGATAGTGTAGTGATGTACACTGTGTGTGTGATAGTATAGTGAGGTACACTGTGTGTGATAGTGTAGTGATGTGCACTCATGTGTGTGTGATAGTGTAATGATGTACACTCGTGTGTGTGTGATAGTGTAGTGATGTACACTCGTGTGTGTACCTGGCACAGCCTGAGTGAGGCCTAGTTAATCGCGCACCTGGCGCAGCCTGAGTGAGGCCTAGTTAATCGCGCACATGGCGCAGCCTGAGTGAGGCCTAGTTAATCATGCACGTGGCGTAGCCTGAGTGAGGCCTAGCTAATCGTGCACCGGGTGCAGCCTGAGTGAGGCCTAGTAAATTATCCACAGGCGCAGCCCGAGTGAGGCCTAGCTAATCGTGCACCTGGCGCAGCCTGAGTGAGGCCTAGCTAATCGTGCACATGGCGCAGCTTGAGTGAGGCCTAGTTAATCGCGCACCTGGCGCAGCCTGAGTGAGGCCTAGCTAATCGTGCACATGGCGCAGCTTGAGTGAGGCCTAGTTAATCGCGCACATGGTGCAGCCTGAGTGAGGCCTAGTTAATCATGCTCGTGGCGCAGCCTGAGTGAGGCCTAGTTAATCATGCACGTGGCGCAGCCTGAGTGAGGCCTAGTTAATCGCGCACATGGCGCAGCCTGAGTGAGGCCTAGTTAATAGTGCGACGGATCACAAGCTGTGTTCCTGTCAAGGCAACATTGCGACGGACCCCAAGCTGTGTTCCTGCCAAGGCAACATTGCCACGGACTCCAAGCTGTGTTCCTGCCAAGGCAACATTGCGAAGGACCCCAAGCTGTATTCCTGCAAAGGCAACATTGCGACGGACCCCAAGCTATGTTCCTGCAAAGGCAACATTGCCACGGACCCCAAGCTGTGTTCCTGCCAAGGCAACATTGCCACGGACCCCAAGCTGTGTTCCTGCCAAGGCGTTCCATCCTGGAAAACTTCACGGAGATCGTCAAGACGGCCAAGGGTCGTGAATGAAGAGTCCCCTGTGTGGGCTTCAGTGGGGCCGTCTGGTCGGGCAGCAGAGACACGAGAGGCCACGAAACGACATTCCAGTCGTGGGCTGAGCTCAAGGAGGGCTAGCTCGAGCACCACCCTGCGGCGGGGAAAGGAGGCGGTGTAAGCGGTACAGTTGAGCCCACAGCAGCCAATAATCTGCTGTCTCTATCTGGGGGGGGCTGTTCAACCCTAGCACACGGGCGAGAATCCGTGCATGTGTGACGAGTGCGGCAAGACGTATTCTCGCGCTCGGCCTACAAGTATATATATTTTTTTCTTTTCCGCTTGTGTTAATCTGTGTTTACCCTAGATATTTTAGAGATGGCAATTCTCCTGCTGTGTATCCTACTGCTGTCCCTCCCGGCCATATCTAGTGCCACACTCAACTCGACAAACGACTACCCTCGTTACTTTGCATCCATACTTGTTGCTCGATTTGCCACTGCACCTGCAAATGAAACAGCTTATAGACACTTCTACACTCCATCATTGTATCCTTTTAAACCCTATCTTTGTCCCATTACTTCACCAGCACTCCTTCCAAACTTCATTCTGCTCTTAAAAATAACACCATCTGCGAGCTACTGCTATTCGTCCAAGGTTTGCCGCTCTTCATCCTTTCACAGAAAATACTTGTGCAAACTATTAATTCTACTTTTCTTATTTCTGGGTGGTATTGAGCATCATCCTGGCCCAAATTTAAAGAACTCGTATAATTCTGTAGATTTTTCTGGCAGGAAAGGTGTTGGTGTTCTACATGTCAACATCAGAGGGCTTGTGATTAAATTAAGTCAACTAAAACTAGAAGTGGCAAATCTTGACCTGGACATTTTTTGCCTAACAGAAACATTTCTCACTCCTGCCATCAATGACTTGCAGATTACAATTGACAACTACAACCTTTTTCGGCTTGACTGAGGATCTAAAGGAGGTGGAATTGCCATCTATGTTCATAATACTATTGCATGTTCACTAGCTCACTCCTTGTTTAAAAAATGTTGCTTTGCATGTCTGGCTCTCAGAATAACTCTCCCAAATAATCAACAGATGTTGGTAGTGTACTTCTATAGACCACCTAGTGGGAAGGATGTTGAAGCTGCATCTGCACTGAGAGAGCTTTTTGGGGGCCTCCCTAAAGGTGAAATAGTTTTAGTAGGTGGTCTAAATTGGAATTGGCTAAACCCGCCGGCCGTGGCCACAAATTTTGCAGATAAATTTAACCTGTTTCAATTAATAAATGTCCCCACAAGACCCAACCTAAAAAATCCAGGACAGTCATCTCTGCTTGACGTCCGATTGACAAATGCCCCTCACAATTTCACACTGACTGGTGTTCAGGGTAATAACCTTCGTGATCACGCCTTCATTTTTGGGGTGAGATCATCAGCCAGACCCAAAGCCCCCCCCTAAATTGGTTGAGAAGCACTCTATGAGACACTTCAACACTCAGGTATTTACTAATGATATGCTTCACTCGGATATTGACAAGGTCTGTGATATCCCCACCTGACAATGGCTTAGGAGACCTTCAGGTACACGTTTCTCCAAATTCTTAACAAACATGCTCCGTTGGTTAGATTTAAAACTAAAGGCAACCGCCCACCATGGTTTGATCTTTTGATTACAAAGCTCATGAAAACTAGGGACACGGCTTGGGCATGTGCTCAGATAAGTAATTTGATCAATGACTGGCTAGAATACAGGATTTTAAGGAATAGATGCGACAAAAAAATACGGCATGCAATAAATGCCTACTTTTCCTCCACTCTCCTGGAATCACATGGAAATGCCAGGATTTTCTGGAAAACAATCAAATGTATCGAAAAGGCATCCAAAACAGGCAATCTGCCCGTTGAGCTTAACCGAAATGGGGAATATTTTGCAGATCCCAAACAAATAGTTGACAATTTTAACCTTCATTTTTCTGACGCTGGTAATCTTTTCCTACACCCCTGTCCAAAACATTAAACGAATTTAGTTTCCAGCCAATCCACGAAAGTAATGTTCTGAAACAACTGTCCTACCTCAAAGGGTCCTCCTCTACCCATCAGATAGTATTCCCGTCTTTACTCTACTAACTGTTGGTCACCTAATATACAAACCTATAGCCCATATTTTCAACCTGTCCATCAAAGAAGCATCAGTTCCTCTAGAATGGAAACATTCCTATGCCCATCCACTTCACAAAGGGGGCCCTAAAGATGATCCAAATATCTACCGACCTATCTCAATTTTGTCCCCATTGATGAAAATTTTTGAAAAATTATTGAAGTATCAAATTAGCAGTTTCCTGTCCACCAACAATCTATTACATCTAAAACAATCTGGGTTCCGAAAAAAATACAGCACCACATCTGCTGCATTAGACTCTCTGAATCACATTTACAGTAGCCTTGATAATAAGCAGTACTGTGCCTGTCTTTTTCTTGACCTGTCCAAAGCTTTTGATATAGTAGACCACAACACCCTGCTTAGTAAACTAAGTTGCCTCGGTTTTTCCGAAAACACAGTAAAATGGTTACAAAATTACCTCTTTTCTCGCACCCAAACTGTATTCACAGATGGTTGGAGGTCAAATAGTATTAAAATAACAAAAGGAGTTCCACAGGGTTCCATCCTCGGCCCCCTTTTGTTCTCTCTATATGTCAATGACTTGGGCACTGACCTGGATCATTCCAGGGTAAAAAAATTTGCAGATGACACGATACTGATTACTGCTGGCCGCTCTCCGGATGACGTGATTGCTAAGCTCCAGGGTGATTTCAACAAACTACAACATCAGCTAGTTGCTCTTAAACTAGTCCTGAATACGTCCAAAACCATGGTGCTATGCTTCTCACCAGGACTAAAGCAGGAAGTTATTTTTCCCCAATTATATTCCTTAAATAATTATCAAATAGAGCAAGTCAAGATCTATAAGTATCTTGGGGTCATCCTGGATTCAAAACTGAATTTTGAAGATCACATTGATTATATTGGTAAAAATAATAAAATAAAAATTGCTTTTCTATATCAACAAAAGCACTGCTTCCCCCATATGTTCCGTTTGGAATTGATAAAAGCTACCATACTGCCTCTACTTGACTACTGTGACATCGTGTTTAAATCAGCACCAAGTACTGAAGAAGCTTGATTACATCTATCACTCGGCCTTAAGATTTACATTGAACTGCCCATATAGGACTCACCACTGTGATCTCTACATTGGGTCAAACTTAACATCTCTTAATGTTCGACGGCTTGTGCACCAGATCTTATTTATTCACGATGTACTTACAAAAAAATCCGCAGACTACCTGCTGGATCTCCTCTCTGTTTCATAGAACAAATTTGACCTCAGGTCTTCGCTCATTTACCAGCTTCACATTCCCTATTGCCGTACAAAAACTGGAGGAAGGGCCTTTGCTATTGATGCCCCCAGGGTCTGGAATGCTATTGCCAATAAACTGCAACTTGAATCGCTACCAATGAGATCTTCTCTCAAAACTGCTCTACTAGAGGAGTTGTACACCCCTAGCTGCCACTGCTATTCATTGGCGTAAAATAAAATAAAATGTTTCGCTCCGGATAACGCTGCAAAGTATTATCTGTATTTTGATTTAGCGTGCTGATCTTAAAGGTGCCTTGAAAAATTTGATACTCCGACTGATGCTTCTGTTGTTGTGGAGTAACTCATGCAGCCAGCTATGGCTCTAGGGTTTGGTGTTGCATGTTATTTATGTAGTTTACGTAAAAAATTCGGTCACAGTTCTTATGATCACTGTTACACTGCAATTATGGCTTTAATTTTTGATTTCGAAAAGTGTTTTGGTTTGTCCGCGTTTGTTTTGTTGTAGTATGGAGTTAGACTGACGGCCTTAATCTAAGTTTTCTTATGGTTATTGTTGTTATTTGACTTGCATCCCACTGGGATTTTTGCACACAGCGTTGGTGTACGGTGCTTTTTCAGGAATATTTTGCTGTTTTTTTCATGGATTTTCTGTTTGCACAGTGCCATAGTCACTTTAATATGTTTTCTTGTTCGTGTTTTTGTTTTTTTGTTTGTTGTGGTTGCACCCGATTCAAGAGTCGAATGGCTCACAGGGCTATACCAAATAAATGAACTGAATACTGAAACTGAATCATGCTTTTGCATCGAATTATAAAATATAGTACGACTTTGTCAGAAGGTTATTAGTGGTTGTCCTCTGAAGAAACTCATCCCTGCCACAGGAATTGAGAATTTCCACCACTGGCTGAGAGCTGTAAGCAGGAGCAGAGCACCTCGACAGACCAAACTAGGACGCATTTCTCACTCAGCCTAGGTATATCACAACTATGCAGTATACTGTGATAAAGCTCAACACAATACCACCAGATATTGCTACAAATCGTTTTATACTCCCCTTAAAAATCAGGCGGCATTTCCCCAGACTGTCGAGGTCAAACCCCGAACACAGTTGCAGTGCTAGATTAAGCTAGGGGGGGCCCTCTAGCATGTGTTCTAAAGGGGCCCTAAATTTTAAAAAACACAAGTATTAAAACATAAATGTTTAACTTGCATAGTAGATTGGACAAATCGCTAACCATAAACACCCAGTGGTTCATAAAAGTTGAAGGCAGTATAGTACTATAGTAATAGAGCAAGTGCAGAATCACTGAACCGGAATTGATAGCTTCAAAGCGTTTAGCGCAGGGCCCTTACAGTGCGGGGCCTGTAGCTATGACTACTACTACATATGTAGCTACTTTTGCAGAGGCGGGCCGTCAGGGCCAGCAAGGCCTTCTCTGCTGGCCTAGAGATTGTCAGAATCAGAAAATTATATTTTATAATTTAATAAAAATTTTCATTAACGCTACATGTATTTTACAAAGTTCGTTCCCATCAGTCTATTAACGTCATTTCATTGCTTCTCTCTCTATCAGTTTCCCTGCTTCCAGTGCAGCTCATATGCGTTAGAGCTTGTATCCAATCAGATTTTCCACCTGTGCTGTCTCCGGGTGAAAAATCTACCCTGAGGCCTTCAGAATGTCAAGTGAACCCCTTCTGCTGTTGAAGCAATTGGGGACGATGTTGTTGATTGTCATATTCTTTAACCAATCAGATTTCGAGTTTGCCATGTTGGGCGTATTCTTTGTCACACCCGGAGTCTTCCAGCTGGCCTAGCCAACGACGTTAGCGCTTTCGTGTGGCGTGATCGGAGGGCCAGTTAGCGAACTGAAGTAAAACTAGCTAGCACGTAACGTAGCATCATCTAAGATAAATTTAAACTTTGGCGTAAAATACCCGGCCCGCCACCGCTTTTGCCACTCGGATAATCCGGCACTGCACAGGTGGCAATCCTATGAGCACCTCCTAAAATGCACATTTGCGCGGGAAATTTTATATATATATTTCTTTAATCTCTTAAATCGCAGGTGAACGTTTGAGAACAGCCGCCAAGGCTGACACGATGCGAGTGGCCGTGGTGGGCGCGGGAGTCATCGGACTCTCGTCGGCGCAGGGCGTCTACGAGCGCTGCCGGCACGAGGCTCCCGACCTCCACATCACCGTCTACGCTGAAGCCTTCTCCCCGCACACCACGGGCGACGGCTCGGCGGGGTTCTGGCAGCCGTACGCCCTGGGCGAGATGTCTCCCGCTGAAAAGTGTGCCTGCTGGGACACCCGAGTCGCACCGCACACCGCTCACCGCTCACCCCTGACCCGCCCCCCCGCCGCCTGGCGTGAATCGCGGCCGATGGCAACGTGGCCGCGGCTGACGACTCTTGCGCCGATCGCAGTGCGGGAGAAATTTGTGGTGTGCCGGCGAGCGTGCGACTCGCGAACTCGTCTTCTTCGCGGGCTGTGTCGGGCCGCGGCGGCGACCACCCCCCCCCCCCCGTGGCTCTGTTCTTCCAATTTGCCCGCTGTCATTGGCAAACTTGCCAAGAAGTTTGCAGATGACGGCGTTACACGGGCCGAAATGTAATGTTTACCCGGTGAAACACACCGTCGTCCGCTTATTATATGAGATAAAGTGAAGCGTTGTACCGCATTGCAAATGCATAATGCAGCAGAATTAGCGTCGACTGCCACTGTTTGATGAGGACCTCCCCACGCTGTGCAGGTCGAAGTGTTGATTTGACCGAACTCCACCATGCCAGTGAGTGGGAGTTGGTGAAGGTGTGTAGTGGCATAGATGTGGGTGCATAGAAGGTACAGTACAACAATTCATTTTTTTGTGCCGTGCAGTCACCTATGAGTATCCGGTGCACATGGTTGTCACCCATCCAAGCACTATCCAGGCTCAACCCTGCTAGCCCCTCCGAGAGCTGAGGCATTGGTCTGGGATGATCACAGCTAAGAAAAATCCTCTATTGATTGCTTTTGGTTGGAGTCTCAGAACAGGTCCCCGCAGGGTGGGCTGGTAGGAACATTGGAATTTTGCGCAATTTTATTTTTACACCCCAACAGCACGAGATTTCACTTCGTGAAAGTATTGAAAGGGGACGGACGGACGGACACATTAATCAATTGCAGGCTGGTACGCTCAGTTTACAACTTCGTTCCTACCAGTAAAAGGATACCTTGCAGATTGTTCATCTTGCAGTCACCCGTATGTAATTTTCCATAATAATCTTCACCTTTTCAGGCAATGGAACAAAGAAACCTTCGACTATCTCTTGGGTTTGGTCAACTCTCCTGAAGCAAGCGAGATGGGCCTTTTCCTCCAGTCTGGCTACAACCTGTTTGAAACCCCAGTCCCAGTAAGGACATCACATTGTTTTTATTCTGCTGCAGATACTTAAGCAATTCACTTGCTCGACTGATTTATACAAGCGCATCACTGCTCCTGCAACATGGGTCGCTCCTGCACATGACCTCAGCACGATTCACCAACACCATCCTCAAAAGTGCCAGATTATAGACACGTATGTCATCACGCCTGGTACTAATCATTGGGATTGTAGCGATGCGCGAATTAATAAATTACTGTCATTTCAATTATCTAAGCTCGTGATGCATGCAATTGAATGTGTCAGAATATATGTTTTTAGATGTGTATATGTTGTATGTAATAGGTTCTCTCAACCTCCCTCTGGTGGAGACCCTTCCACCAGCAGTGGTGTGAGCTAGCAATTGCAGGGCTGCACCTTTACCTTGTATGCAGTACTAATTGACATTTTGCCATCAAAACACAAACTACCATAAGGACAGCCAATCAGCAGCAAATCAGTGCCATACAAGAGGCGAATTCTTAATGCCATTAATGCACTTCAAGACCATGCTTGAATTTTTTGTTGCAATTATTTTATACTGAACGTGACAATTGTTATACTGGCATGCATTGTAAACTTCGCAGATTAGAAATGTCATAATTTATCCATTTACAATGACAACTACAAATCGCACAGAAGCAGGAACATTTACAATTTAATTCCGACTTATTATTGAGGCCTCCTATCACTGCAGTAGCTAGATTATTAGTGCACGCAAACTAATTTTAACATGTGTTTGGTCCAAGGCCACGAAATATAATCATATTCTTTGGTTCTTTCGGTAAAGTCACGTAGATATAGAAATAATAATACAAAATAAAGTGAATAAAAATAAAATAATAACACTAATGTAGACTGTAGCCTGGTTCTTAATCAGAGTGAGTGTACTGGCAGTCTATAATGTAGATGTAGCCTGGTTATTAAGATTGGTGAGTGTACTGGTAGTCTGTAATGTAGACTGTAGCAATGGTTATTAAGACTGCCGACACGCTCACCAAGCTTAAAAACCAGGCTACAGTCTACATTATAAACTGCCAGTACACTCACCGAGGTTAAGAACCAGGCTGCAGTCTACATTATAGACTCCCAGTACGCCCACCGAGGTTAAAAACCAGGCTACAGTCTACATTATAGACTGCCAGTACACTCTGATTAAGAACCAGGCTACAGTCTACATTAGTGTTTTTTGTTTTTATAATCATTTTTTATTCACTTTATTTTTTATTATTACTTTTATTCTATCTACGTGACTTTACCAAATGAACCAAAGAATATGAATTCCTGCAGTCACGAAAGTTTTAAGTTGAAATATAATTATTTATGCTCGTCTTGTATCACTAGGATCCTGCCTGGAAGGACATTGTCTTGGGATTCAGGCACCTCACAGTCGACGAGCTGAAGATGTTTCCAGGGTGGAGGTGCAGTTTATTTTGTATTTTATATATATTTTTTTGACCCGTGGAATGTAATGGGATCGGCAACCAAAATTACAAGAACGGCTATTTTTTAGAAATCTGTAAAAAAAAACTCAGTATCTCAAGAGTCGCAGTGCATGTTATTTTGAGACGATCCTTAATACAAAGAAAACATCACAAAACAGTCCTTGAAGAGTCGCATATGGCTCCGGAGCCACAGGTTGCGACTACTGCCCATGGTAAACTTGACTTTCATGGTAAACTGGACTTCGATGGTGAACTGTACTCCCATGGTCAGGGGTCGAAAAACAAAATAACAAGATTTTTTTTTTTAGAATTCGTTAATAATAAATAAAAAAACCCTCAATATCTCAAGAGCGGCTCTTTGGTCTAGCACAATGCCTCGTATGTTTCTTACCAGGACAGTGACCTCACTGCTCTGTTAATAATAATAATTCCAGCTTGTAACGCGCCGCTGCACAGTATTCGCTCACTCCTGGAGAGAGAAAACGACTCGGAGGTGTGAAGAATCAGAGACAAGTGGGACAGGTAGCCGGGCGGTGAGCTGACGCCAAATCCGCCCCCCCCCCCCCCAAGCTCTGTGGTCCTCTTTCTATTAAGGTGTCCCAGGCCAATTAATGAGTGTTTACATGGGGGAGGAAACCGGAGCACTATGAGAAAACACGTTCTTGTATCGTCTTCTGTAAAGTCAGGGTATGGGACCTCGACGCCCACGGCAAGGGAGTTTCGCAACATTTACTCGGTCAACCGATGTTCGCCGCCTTGCAAAGTGCCGGAGCACAGACGTTAACAGCCATCGTGTGATGTCTCAACTCTTGTTTCAGCTACGGGTGGTTTAACACTACATTAATGCTGGAATGCAAAAAATACCTCCCCTGGCTGATGAACAAGTAAGTGGAAACCAGGTTTGCTTCAAGCCAGTAAATTCACAGTCCCTATGGATTGTAATGGTAAAAAAAAGTGCAGCGCTGGAAGTTGCTTACTCGTGCCACTGCTTGATGGAAGGGGCCCCAAGAGAGAAAACTCTCGAGAGCCCCCCCCACCCTCCCCCGAGAGGATATTTGTCTACTCTTCCACGTTGTCCAGACGTCATGGGAGAGACAAAGTTAAGTTAGTAAGTCCTTTCATTAAATGTTCTTTTTCATGATAGGCGACTCATGCTTCAACGGGTTTTCATCTTGCGCTGTTGAGAAAGTGACCCCCCTCACTCATTAAGTCGTGCATTAAGGCCAACATTAAATACAAATTAAGTGTGAAAGGGCACATTCACGTCCAATTTTGGAAAGTGATAACTTCGCTGGAAAATGTTTCACGTTGATATGTCCGTACTTTTTTTAAAATTTAGCAAGAGTTCACACGTCCGGTGAATGGAATCAACAAAGGTGTTCAATGCTCGATCTTAATATCTCTGAAACAAATGTGGAATTTAGCTTTTCCTGTGTCATTCTTCAAATGTTTCATTGCAACCTGACAAATAATGGAATTTCAAAACTGCTCGCAGCTGACATCGCACGGCGGTACGACAACAATCGGTACATTCGGGAGAAAATAAGTGCTAAAGCGTATTTAATTTAACTGAAAATATTTTTCTCTTTTGACCCCTTAGGTTGAAAAGTTATGGAGTGCAGTTTATTCAGAAGAAAATCCACTCATTTAGTGAGGTAAGCCAGGTCGAATTTTCACGTCGTTTTATTTTTGTTTGTAAAAATAATTGAGTCGTCACGCTCTGTATATCCACCGGCATACCCCCGGGACTACCCCCCAAGACGCATTCCTGAAAAGCAGACCATGCATCGAAAGTACTTTAATCGCAACAAACAAATGGGACGATGGATCCTAACCTAGTACAACACCAAAACAGAGGGTGCCGAGTAACTCACAGCGCATCTATACTGTACAACCATGGGTGTGAAGAGTAAGCGTATGTTATTGATATATCAAGCTCTGTTGCCTTGTCTATTATACCATGCGTATCATTCGTTGTTTATCATATCAACTAAAATATGTTACGCGTTTTTAAAATATAGTCTCCAAAATGACGGTATGTGGGGAAAATATCTTCGTAAAGTTGCGTGTGCACATGCTTGGGACGGCTGTAGCCAGGGACGCTCACATGTGGCGCATGCATATCGCTGTGCAACGTAACAAAAAGGTGGGTCTTTACGGGAGAGTTCGAATAATCTCGAGTACGTTAAGACGAGGTAACCACACAGTACGCAAAAACGGGATTGGGTATCAATGCGTTGAATACGTTATAGCGAAAAGTACGTACAATGGGTACGTTATAGCGAAAAGTACGTACAATGGGTACGTTATAGCAAAAAGTACGTACAATGAGTACGTTAAAGCGAAAAGTACGTACAATGAGACTGCATAAATGAGGGTATTAGTCTTTATATTGATTGTTTTCGACCGGTTCCCGTTTCCTCCATAATATAGGTTTTTTTTTTTTGGGTTGGATAGTGTAAATATAAATGTGTCGTTCAACTTGCCACTACCCGACACAGCCAATGAGTAAGGTTTGTCACGTAAACAAAACATGTCAATTCGTTACTAGTTCAGCACACCGGTGTGTTGGAGAGTAAACCCTCAATATTTCTAATTCTTGTAACATGTACAGCATGTTACAATAATTTTTGTGACATGTACAGCGCATAGAGATACTTTTTGTGTAGTATTGTGACCTATGTAACCACGATTTTCATTAACATCTGTACTTTACAACATGTGTTTTGTGGCAGTGTCACCCATGGAATAGATACTGAGCAGCTTAGTCGGTCCATCCTGCTCAAATAAATAAAACATATCTAATATAGCAAACACACAACGCAGCAGGGCACCTTCATGCAGTTAATCATTCCTCAAACGTCAAATTAACTCAATGTAGTGACCCACTGAAATATCATATACATCAAAATGCTCTTATTACCCACTTGTGTTTCATAAGGCATTGAACAAAATAAAACTAAATTAAGATTTGTGTCAGAATACTTAAAAGATCCTGCCAAGTTGTTGTTGTGTAACCCTCCCTTCACCACCCAAATTAACCAAATAAATTAAAAAGCCACTTGTACAAGCGTTTAATTTGCACATCACGAGTAGTTTAGGCATAGGATTAGTGATTTTCTCAAATGTTAATATTTCATTTTCAAGAATAACGTAGTATATCGTACCCTTGTTTCATGATAAACTGAACAAAATAAAAATGTTTACGATGCAACTATTTTGTCGTGTGCATGAATCGGCAATTGTCAATGCGTGGCTCTAATAACAGCTGAGTGCAAGCTACGACGTGATCCTGAACTGCACTGGCGTGTGGGCAGGAGACCTACAGCCTGACCCCCTTCTCCAGCCCGCTCGCGGGCAGCTGATGAAGGTACGGACGCACGTATCTCGACATCCACAAAAGACCGGGAGACTGAGCGACAGGCAGACAATTAATCAATGGACAGGGCGCCTGGCAAAGGCACAGACAGGACACGATGAATGACGTCACCACACATTTCACAGGTGGACGAAAAAATCCACACGTGCCAAGACAAGGGAAGGTGAATATGCTGTGCATTGATTTAAAAATGATCTGACAAATAGAGTGTGGGAGGATGAACCGGAGGGGTAAAAGGTACGGATGAAATAGACAAATTGGTTCCAATTGTTTCTTTCTGCTGTGGACAATTACCTGCTACTTTTCTTGAAGGCAATTTTAAAACTCATTATAGTCCTACAGATTTGTCAACACGCGGTAGATTGCATGCAATTCATGAAAGTGGGCGAAGAATCGTGAAATGTGATGTCTGATGGTACAAATTTGATTGCTTCAGAGTATGTTCCAGTCTATGCTATTCTCTAAAACAGCATTTATAAAATGGATTCCTAATAGTCAAAATGCACTGTGTTCGTTTCACGCCAAAAGGTCTTTGCTCCTTGGATAAAACATTTCATCGTCACCCACGACACAAATAAGGGCGTGTATGAAACTCCCTACATATTGCCAGGGTAAGTTAACGCCATTATCATGACACGGATACAGCTTACATTTCTACACATTTGTTTTTGCCCAAAGCTTGCCAATTACATTGAGCGCTCTTGTGAATTGTGCTGTACAGGAGCTCTGGCGTGGTTGCCTTGGGCGGCTGCTTTCAGGTGGGGAACTGGAATCAAGGCATCGACAAGAAAGACAGAGCCAATATCTGGGAGGGCTGCTGCAACCTCGTGCCAAGCCTGAGCGTGAGTTGGAAACGTCCTTTCCCGTGTTGCATGGCCTTCTACATCTTTAGAATGATTGTTGCCTTGCATTAGTTCCATGTTCTTCTGATTATAAGATACACTTGAATAAAAGAAGCACCCAAAACCTATACCCGGTGTCATAAAAAGTTAAACACATCTGGTCAAACAACACACACATCATGCTTTAAAATATGGGACGGGGCGGGGGCGGGGGCGGGGGGGGGGGGAGATTGTGTTATAATTTAGATAACACGGTTTATATGAATTCAGAGATTTTCGATAAAAATGCCTGTTCCGTCTTACTTGGAAACTAAATCAAACATTTGTAGAGCCAGTGCTGGGAGTTATATTGGAAACAGAAGCGTGTGCATAGTTAAAATGCAGTATGAAATACCGAAGTGTGGATGCTAACCAATGTTTCAGAACCGTCTGGCCAGCATGGAAGAGGGATTCTTTAATACTTCCTTTCTGCCAGCAGTGATGTGAGCAATCAAATGCAGGGCTGCACCTTTACATGTTATGCCTTTTTTTTTTTTAGATTGTAACATTTTGCCACCAATGTGCATACTATAAGGACAGCCAACAACAGGTAAAAAAAGAAAATAACGAGCGTAGAACTACAGCAAAAGAAAGGCTGTGATGACAAACCCGTCGGCTTCAAGCTTGAGAGTGAGCAGACACGTTTGCTGGCTTAAAACGGTCATTTATTTGACTTTTCAGAAAGCTCGCCTCGTGGAAGAATGGGCTGGACTGCGGCCAGCCAGGCATGCGATTCGCCTGGAGCGAGAAAGCCTCAGGCAAGGAGGAGCAATACAATCCGAGGTGAAGTTGCATTTCACAATTAAAGGAAGAGAGGACAAAAAACACGCCCATGTTACTTTCTTCAAAAAAATTCCAACACGTTAGTAATAAAGTACAATTTTGTAAAAAGAGAAAATGAATTATAATAAACTCATTCGTGACGACAATTCCAATTTCATCACATTTTTGCACGCATTAAATCAATGGTAGGTGTTCCAAACTGACAGGTTAATTATGTAAAATGTCGTGGGTAATGGGTGATGCGGCTAATTGGATGAAGACCTGGGAGGGCACTTCTTCTGTAGATAGGATTTCGTCCTGACATCAAATAAATGTACAGCGTTATGGAATGCAATTCTCATGAATGATGCTTTGAAAAATGCAAGTATTATTATTACTATTGACTATCCACTACTGGACGAGGACCTCCCAAAGTAATCCTAATTTGATACAATCGGAGGGCTATTATATGTCCTAATAGTGTTTCCCACTTATAGCAATGTTTTGCTTTGTTTCCATGAACAGCCAAATGAAGTTGACTCCAAGGTAATCTAATTGGCCTGACTTTTCCTCCAACTCGATTCAATTAACAACTCAAGTTGGTTAATAATTTGATATTTCCATAATTTTCTGAGATACTTATCGCAAAGAATTGGTTTGTGTTTTTTTTTCTAGAGATAGACTTTCCCAGAAAGTTTTGTTCGTATTCGATCAAGACTGCACTGCTGACAATATTACAAGGTGATTTTAAAGAGAAGAAAGGAGGAGGAAGGAGGGAGGACAAATGTTACCACCACCTCCCAACATTTTTGATTGAAGCGTTTGTTGACGTGCTCAACCTGAATTCTGTTTTTGGAATTCAGGCCATGCCCCGTGTATTAAAAAAATATATATATATTGGCCTGAAGAATTCGGGCCTCCAGCCCAATATGGCAGGCAACTCAGTGGGTAGCAACGCAGTTACGCACTCAAGACGCGTGGTTCGAGGCAATGCAGGTTTCATCTTTGAACATTAAAAAAATGTACGTGAATGATACAAATGTTGCTGCTCTCATTACAAAATATAGACGCTGTCACTCGAAACATCAAATGCTGTCGATTTTTACATTTCACCTTGCACCAAGTTTTGCTTCATGTGCACCTCTGATTAGCACAGTTGGCTACGTACGGCGCGATAGAAGTTCAATATACGTACATACATGCGAGTTGTAGCTGCATAAAAAGTGAACTGGAAAATTCACTATATACGCACAGCTGTCAGTTCTACGAGGCTGTCTGTCCAGTGGTGGCTCGTGACATTTACACTAGGTAGGGCTGTTGAGTGACCTCTGAAAATTTGGTGGTCTAATTGAGAAAAATCTCGTCATGTTATTGGCCTTCCCATGAAAGTGATGTAACTGTATTATCTACCAACGGTGAGGCATTTATACGCACTAAAATGCTGTCCCCACGATCCTCAAGGCCACACTTCACAACCTCCTAGAGCCGTGCCCTGCTATATTTGCACACTGCAACCTAGCGTGGTGACATCGTCATTACAGCCATGGGCACCTTTTCACCGCCCTGAATGGGTCTCAAACGGCGTGGCTACAATGCGAAGTTGCTCTCAATGAGTGAAGGGATATCTCTCACTCGGACGCCTTCACTGCCGCCCCGAGACCTCCCCCATCAGACTGTGTTGTTGCAGCGGTTTCTAATACAAACAACTTCAAATGTTATCTCTATTAGGCAATTCACGTTGAAATAATCATTATATATATAAACATTTAAACACAACAAAATAATTTATAGAAGAGTTTTTTTTTTTTAATTAGAAACATAGTTTCACATCTCCAGTTGCTTGGTGGAGTGGCGCCCCAACACCCAGAGTGGACGAACCGCGCCTGAGTCTGTCCTGACTTTTCTGTGTTTTTGTTTTTCAGATTATTCACAACTACGGCCACGGTGGCTATGGGGTGACAATCCACTGGGGCTGTGCCCTGGAGCTGGTAAACATCTTTCGTCAGATAGCACTGGAGAAGAAGCGCGGTCCTCACTCCCATTTGTGACCGCCTTGGAATGATGTCCCGATCAAATTGCTGTTGTATTATTGAAGAGCAAATCCACGCTCCGTCCCGAACGTATGGGACATTAATAAAGGCGAGTGATTAGTCCCGTAAAATGATTCAGCAGAGGGAAAAACCTATGATTCGTAACCACTTTTCCCTCGCACAACCACACGCCAATATAATGATGCTGTGCATCACGACTCACATCACTATTGTTGAATGTAAAGTTGTTTTAGTATTTAACAAGGTGATTTTATTGTATCACATTATTGATTAATTTTACGCCTTTGATGTATAAATAATTAGTTTTGTGAAAAACGCTAAACACTATTAATATGGTCCCATCACGACCAGTTTGTCAGCAATATTACTGTGTGTACAATTAAAACTTGTGTAAGATGTAATAATAATAAAAATACATTCCAAGGAGCTGCTGCTTGTCTGTTGTTTTTTTATTATTCACCTCTAAGTGGAATTCACTTCGGTTGTCAATGGGCACAGTAATACACAACACACAATGCACAAAATACATAGACCAATGTGGCTAAATGTTAAATAGTGACACGGTCTAAACAAATATTTGATGGATTCCCTCTGAAGTGTTCCCAATAATTCTATTGATACGTTTTCTGAATTTAATAAATAAACACTGTTGACAAATTACAATTAAGATTTCATACATAACTTCAACATTTAACATTTGCAAGATCTACAATTATCAAACAATTTAGCCAACAGTTAAAATACTGTATATTATTTCAGTTTTCTTACATTTATTTCCATTCACAAATGACCACAACCGCAGTATGTAGTACGATATTTTTTTCGAATGACTCGCATATACAGTGTGCTTACACATATAAAATTCTAATGAGAAACTATATACAGGACAATATGTACAAAGCATTACGTGTAAAAATATATAACGTTACAATTTAAAAAAAACAATAAACCGTTGCAATAATTTTCAGTTCATATTTCATTACTGGAAAGCATAAGTGAGCGGTCTATCACATGCACTTGTGGTTGGCCTATAGAAGAGCAGAAAAGGAATTTATACATTTGAATAAAATTCAAAACAGACAATGTACCGCTCACTCTACATAGTGACAATCTAACATATTCTTATGTTAGATAAAATCTATTATTTTAGTGTTTCCCTTCAACGTGACTTTACCGAAAGAGCTAAGAATATGAATTACTGCAGTCACGAAAGCTTTAAATCAAAATCTAACATCAATTTACATGGAGTGATCTCGCCAATACCATCCGGTAATCCAAAACAATGTTTAACAATCATAGCTTGCTGATGAGACCCAGAAGTTCGAAACTGCTCGAGGTTTTGCATGTGTAAACACATGCTGCCTGACAACATTGGTCTGGAAAGCTGATGGACGAAAACATTTTCATATTTATACATGAAGACACGGAACGGAGTTTTGCTTATATTTTCTTTCTCCATTATGCTCCGAAAGCAACGGTTGAGTGTGTGTGTGAATTTAATTAGGCGCACACATCGGAGGTTTGCAAATACAAAGAGACAAAGCGTTGCATTTCATGGCAAAATAATGAAAAATGTAAAAATCCAGTCCGACTGCTGTTGGTGTACAGCGCTGAATGTACATGACGATTTTTTGTTATCAGGAAGACGGTTCAGCTGGGTTTTGGGACCACCTACCAGAGGCATAGAAAGTACAATCATGTTTAGAATAACACTTCTTTGTCATGATATCAGGTTTGACATCACCTATGCCATTTTAAGATAATAGCTGGCTTTGAGATATCAGGTTTTTATTTATATGTATAAATAAGAATGCACATCTAGCTATTGAATCAGAAATGTCAGATATTTGTGAGAAAAAAATGAAAAAAGTAAATGTTCTGCAACTGCAAACACCATCACGTGTTTTACAAGCAATGGCTGTCCCAAAAATACCATTCGTTAATAATTCACCATTGGGCCAATTCCACTGATTTTTACCCATTTATCAACTGAAAAGTGTTTATAATAACAATTCAGACGATATTTCTTACCACAGAAAGGTGTCCACGTTTGTCTTTACACACAAGGTGTTGAGGCCCTGTAGAAAAAATAACATTGCCTTCCTTGCCTTGAGGCCCAATGAAGGTGATACTATAAAAAAAAACACAAGTCCAATTTTTTTTAAACAAAGTCTTAAAGTCAATACATAGACGATGCATTAACATTCAAAGGTAAATATATAGCCCTGCAATTGAGTATTCACGCTACTGCTGGCAGAGCAGCCTTCACTACAGGGTGCCCTCAAGAGCCCCTCTTGGAGGGCATTTGGCCTTCTCTTCAATGCTGGCCACGTGGATGCATGCTAAACTTCTTTCGCACCATATGTAGCCAACGGTGCTAATCCAGAGGTGTCTTGGAAGAGGTGGGAGTAACCGCGCTCTACGCCAATCGCACAGGACCTGCCGATCGGCAAACTGTGGTGAACATTTTTTTTTGACTGCTGGCCGGACAGAGACAGGTGGGTGGGTGGGGTGGGGGGCGGATTTAAGAAACGTGACCCCCATTGCTTCCACTGCCATACCTGGAGATTGAAATGGCGATCTCTAAGATTGCAAGCCCAATTGTGCTGACCGTTATGCCCAGGGACCCCTTTAACGTTTAAATATTGAGGCAAGGAAATTTGAATTCACCCACTCTCTTCTCAGATATTTTCAAGGAGTTGTAGAAGGTACTAGTCATTATATCCAGAGTGCATGTTACGTTGGTAACTGAAAATATTCTACTGGGGCGCTCACTCTTTCATGATGTCGCAAATGATCCGTTACACAAGTGGGATAGTTGCAATAGATGTAAATAAACACACACACACATTAATATGCTTAATGCAACGGCACGCAAGTTTTTACCCTACCTTCCTGAGTAAATGTTTACACATGCGGTTTTATTGGCGAGAAGTGCGAGTTTGGTCAAAGTCTCAAACACGTAATTGCTCTGCAGAATCATGTCACCCTGAAAAACACAAGCATACAGTTACAGCATGCTCAATGTCAACTTTGACAGTTCACACACTGTACTTTACTTCAGACTCCAAAGAGATGTGTTCGGTATGGACAAAGCAGTCGAGATGCGTGACATCGTATGACTGTTTACAGCACCGCGCATTTAAACTGTGGCTGGCTGCTCAAGGATTTTCATGGGCTCGCTCCACCATATATCCAGCAGTTGCTTTAGCCGCGCACTCCATTGAGATCTCCGAGTTCCACTGATCGTGCCTTACCCAGTGTGACCTGACGGTGACCACCATGGTTTTTGTCAGGCCCTGGGATTCCCTGTCCCAAAGGAGGCGTTTAAGTCCGGGCTGAAGACCCCCACCAGCTTCATAATAAAGGCCTCCTCTCTCTATCTAGTTTATCTACCTGTCTCTTTAGTTTCTATCTCCCTGGTCACTTCTCACTTATTTTCCTCCTTTAAAATAAAAAACAGTTTAGTTTATATTCACGGCGCTCTGAGATAAATTTGTTAAGGGCACCTCATGCATCTAAATTAGTATAATAAGATAACAACCCATTCTATTCTTCCACACGGACCAGACATGTTGGAAGAGGTGGGTGTACCCACACTTTGCCCCACTTCACGCAACCTGCCAATAGACTAACTGTTAAGTATCCATTATACTGCTTGTTGGACAGGGGGGTGTAGTAGTAGTGGGGGGGGGGGTGTTAATAAAATGCCCCCGTTGTTTGAGCTGCCGTGACCTCTGGATTGCAAGTCCAGTTTGCTAACCATTTCACCACGGCAGCTCCCTCCGTTTATCCCTTAGTTACATATTACCTTTGTCACTATGAACATTTGTACGGGTGCGGCAAACCGATAACCGATTCTATCCATTCGGTTATCGGTAACGTAACCAAAACGATGCTAACAACCTTCGTTTAAACGCAAAGGGTTAATTATGTTACAGCACCCAAACACGTGTTTTTCACCAGACAATTGGCAGTGTGGAATCACCACCTTGTTTCTTCTGTCCTCCGATGACATGTGCAGGATAAAGAAGCCATCACTCAGTGAACTGCATGACACATCTTCCATAAAGCAAAGGGTGAAAGAGTAACAAGTGAACTTTGTTGTCACAATATAACACTCACGCTCTACTCCAGCAGACTGAAATCAAGCAATCCATTGATCCTTATCAAGCAATAAACAGTTTGTGTAAAGATTGCTCCCAATGACATAATAATATTATATGTGTCTTTTGGTAAAACCACGTAAATAGAAAAATAATATTCATATCACGACGTTTCGATCGTAACACAAGCAGTCATTTTTTCACCTGAAGACGATTGCTTGTGTTGCGATCGAAACGTGGTGATATATATATTTTTTTTCTATCTACGTGGCTTTACCGAAAGACCCATAGAATATGTATTCCTGCAGTCACGAAAGCTTTAAGTCAAGACATATAATGTCAAGTGTTATGAAGCGTCGTTTGTGCAAATTACAACTCACAATAGCTGACGAACCACAGGCTATCTGGAAAACAGCGTCCAGGCGGGGAGCCAGGCGGTGAGCCTGGATGCTGGCCAAGTTCTACAGTCCTTTACGTATTTACATTTTTACATACAACTGACTGGGGAACCCAGAGAAAACCCACACGTGCTAGTGAGCAACACTCTATCCCATACAGAAGGGACAGATAATTAGTCCATACTTTGCTGTATTGCCTTCATTGCCCATAGGAAGGGAGTTTTACAACAATTTGTGTAATCCACCAACCCTTGCTTCCACAGTGTGTGATTACAGGCGTGCTTCACTACCGTCCAGTATATAATAATACATTTACAATTCTATAATTCAGAAAGTTAAGGCCATGTGTTTTCATGGTAGATAATTCGTAAAAAAAATGTAATTCATTCTGAGCCCTTGTGGAACATTGCGAGTAATAAAATCAATATATTATAGAACCAAAGAGTATAAAATCAATATACTTCTGTTAGTCTCTCCACATAAAATAAAATATTGTGTTGTCTGTCAGACTGTGGGCTTTTCATTTATGATATTGCTCATATCGTATATGAGTAGTCAACAGGTTCGGTGTAATAACCAGCCAAATTGTTAATGTACATATTGAACAATCATAGACGTTGACTTAAAGCTTTCGTGACTGCAGGAATTCATATTCTTGGGTCTTTCGGTAAAGTCACGTAATAATCATAGACGTCTTTATCAGTTTAACACGTAGGCTTTCGCAGCCAATATTATCCATAATAGAGGTTTTTGGGGTTATGTCGTGCAAATATGAATGTGGCGTTAAACCCGCCACCACCTGACACAGCCAAATAGTAAGGTTTGTCACGTAAACAAAACATGGCAATTCATGCCAAGAAGTATTTATTTTGTGGATTACTATGAAACTAATTGCTAATTCTAATGCTAGCAGTAGGACCAG